GCTGAATTCTGGACTCTTGTGAATTCTCTCATCATAAACAACAAACCGCAGATGTAGGTACAATGTAAGTAAGAGATTCATTTAACAGTGTATACAGCTTCAGTGATTATAACGATAGTTTTGTTTTTTTGAGAGTGCTTAAACTCGCGATAGATCAATGTTAGTGATAAATTTCTATATATAATTTATTCGCTGTTTGAATAACCTTGGGTGGAAAGGAAACGTTATATAGGCTAATTATCAATATCTAACGTTTTTATTAAATTGTAATCAAGTTAAATACAAATTCAGTCCCATTAAAAAAAAATTTTAGCCTACATGACACCCATGTCTGGTTCTTACCTAAAAAGAGGGTTTATGATGTTTAATACATTTGGCTTCTTTTAGCCTTACCCTGGAATTGGTTCACCCTCCGCCTATGCCCAGGGGGCATGGCTTAATTAATTAAGTTATTAATTAATTAATTAATTGTGTGTGTGTGTGTGTGTGTGTGTGTGTATATATATATATATATATATATATACTGTATATACCTTGCTACGTGTACTGCGTTAGGCTAACCGAGACTTCTCATTTGCACTTACATATTGTTGCTCTCTCTTTAGTTTCGATTGCTTCTATTGTCCTCATTTGTACATCGCTTTGGATAAAAGCGTCTGCTAAATGACTAAATGTAAATGTAATTACTGTAGTTACTCTGTTCTGAACATTCAAATCCTTTGTTTTTCCTATTCTACTGTAACTAGTTGGTTGAATAAAAATATTTGAACTTTATATTTAAAAATTACCTCAAGTTATCATCAGGTAGCTAGTTAGCATCAGCTAACAATATTTTATAGAGGAGAAACAATAATATAATAATGTAATATAATAATGAAAATAATGTGTTTTTTGAACCTTAAACCGCATAAACATTTCATTACACCAAATACACAAAATAATGTTCTTTTTAGCAACATCATATGACCCCTTTAAATTAATCGAATTCAAGTTTCACTTCAAGGCGCTCGTGAACACATGCTCCACCCACTGTGGTTTCCTGGGCAACAGTATACAGAAAACAACATGTCTGGAAGAGAGAGATCAGGAGAGGGAGTCTGATCCGCTGAAAACGTAGAGAAGATCAAGAGAGGAGAAGAAGCGGATAAATATGATACTAGGCTCAGTGTATGTAAACTACAGTACATGCTTATGAATTCAGTCATTCACTTGGTGTTTAGACGACGTACTGCTACAGATCTATCTATGATAAAGTGAGGTATCTAGCGTTGCCTACACATTTGAAGAAGCTCCCTGCTAATATACAGAAGGAAAAAAGACAAATACTTTAAAACTTGTATTAATAACATGTACAAACATTTTAAGTTGTATACCAATGCCTAAAAATATAATTAAACATTCATTCAACTGTTGTTATATAGGCTGATGTAATATAATCTGTAATGAAATTCAGTGTCAGAAGTGAAATATTTTTCCTTTACATGGTCACATTTGACTACTATGTGTTGGTATGATGGTATGCATTTAAATCTCAATCTCAAATGTTATTATTGACATCAAATAAAATACAAAAGTACCCCGTAAATAGCCTAATGCACAAGATATCATGAAACACTGTCAGAATATATTTTATATTTTATATCATTTACCAGTCCTGATGTGCAATTATACAGCCATAAATTGTCACAATAGATTTATATGTACGATGTCTATGATAATATATATGATTTATGTGTTAATGTTTATAACGTTTTTACTGATTTTCAACAACACTCAGTGTCTACAAAGCTACCAAACACATAACTACTGATGATACACTGTAAAATATTGTTTAAATTAAATATTATAAAATATCATTAAAATTAAAAGTGTATTTTCTAGTAATAATATTATCCCATATTCTAGGAAGTGAAGATATCTTTTCCTCAGTGGGAACTTCTAAAGCAAGACCAATTAAATATTCTTCTCAATCTGTCTGTGGACCAAGTGCAGTTGTAAGTTTATTAAGAATTGGTTCTTTAAAATCATTAATCATATGCACATGTGTTGCAGCTCTTTTGAGCAACAACAGTATAATTTTTTTTTGTCAGCTACTGTCATTATTAAATAATACACAATGTTTTTTTGTATCTAATTTACATATATAATGACTTTTGTAATATATTGTATGTCTTGCATTTTAAGACAGTTTGAGGACATACTGAATTTCAAAAACCACCAAACATGTGTGAAAGAAGCTGCGCTGTTGGAGTATTTTGTCAATGGATTTTGGTGGGCCAAAGAGATGAACTTCAATTCTCATCAAATCTCATTTATCATGGCA